CCCCCCCCCCCCCTCCACATCATTAAATGAACAAATACACATCTGAACGCGATTTTCATCGGTGGCATTTTTTTTTTATTTATAAAACATTTGGAGGTGACATTTACAGGTTACCAACATGCCATTATTTACATTTAGAACGAAGGTATAAATGAAAGAGTAAATTAGTGTTTTCATGAAGTAAATTTTTAAAAAAATTAAGTACGGACTGAAAATATCATCAAAATTTATTTCAATGTATAATGGTAACTGATAAGGAAATATCAAACCAATGGGATGATGTCTTAAAATTCTCTGAATGTCATAAAAAGGACTGGAGTAATGAGAATTGACATATTGACGCGAGAGACAGGGAAACACAGATTAATCTAGGAAAAGTCACAGATAGAGTTCGTAGAGTACAAAAGTAAGATCGAGTATGGCCGAGGATGAATTGTGAAGAGATTGTAGGAAGATTTGAAGAGGATGTTAAGTAAGGATTATTAGTTTTGCAAAACCATCATCACCTTGAAAAAGAGACCACATAACTGTACAATGAGATAGAAAAACACAAAGTAAGCAATGATGAACGAGGAAGGAGCAAGGATAACCAATGATTAAAAAGATTAAAATGGATTTCAGATGAACTTAAAACGTAAAAGCTAACCTTAAAGTTAGTTTAGTTTTTCGGAGAGAGACAAATCGTGACGTGACAATAAAACCAGCGGATTAATGTCAGTATCTGAACAACTGCATACCTACCCCTCCTAAAAACAACAGTCGACTGATAACAAGTAAGGGTGGATATTAGGTTAAGGGAGGAATAGGTGCGAAGTTGCTTAGACACTGATATCGATCTAACTCAGCCATAAAATGATACTAATAAATGTGTAAATTATGATATTAATAAGTGATTAATATATAACGAGCGCTTACGATGGCTCTCATTGGCTAACTGAAGATATATTTTAAAACATTTTTATATATTTGATCATTTTGACTGCATTTATTGATATCATGGTCCTGCATGCTTCGCAACCGATGTTTGGTTTGTCACGCAAAGCGATTTCTCGCTGAGAAGGCATTGCGTGACGTGTTTAAACAATGGCCGCAGAGGCTTTTGATAGAACTACTGTGTTAACGTGGCCTGATGTTCACTGAGCTAATTTCTTTTCCTCAGCTGTTAAGCAAAATGGAATCTTAAGCAAAAATAATATATTTTCAGAAAATTAATAATCGAAGGCGCTTGGTGAAGCCATTTCCAACAAAACCCATACTTTAGGGAAAGCTGTTTTTAGAATATAATGGTTTTCCGATTGTTTTAAATGGATAAAAATGGGAGATATGATACATATTTTGGCATGTAAAAACACTTGAAAAAGATCACTTTGCCTACACTATGGCCAGCTATATCAGTTTCATTTATCGCTCAGGCTTGCACAGCCCTGCGTGACAAAATTATCTTTGCTAACCATAACTGTCACTTTGTATAACCTTGCGTGACAAATTCATCAAAATAGCCCAGCCCCCTTAAATAAGAAAAATAACGTTAACTTGTAACGTTTCAACAAATAAACTGAAACTTCTCTGATGCGTATGTATTTGCGTTTCTTATCATTCTGATCAACAACCCCCTGGAATTCCCAAAACTTTCAAATTTCTGCCTTTAAAAAAAGACGACCACCGAACCGAAGAAACAAGCAGAGTAAAAAGCTTATCAATAACCCTTTTTTGCGCACAAAAACTCCAACATTCCCCGACATAATTGCACAGAAAAGTGCCTAAGACTTCACACCTAGCATATCGAAGGTTAAATATAGCACGGTCCGAGGGAAAAGTTCGTAACAAAACGGTAGTCTCAATGAGCTAACAGGCAATCTTCAAATGGCCAAAAAATTCCTCGAAGGGCATTGAAGGAAAATTAACGCCACCATCATTTTACTTTCGGTGAATTGTCCCTCTTCAAACCTGTTTCTAGTTTTCTTAACGTGAACAAAACAATTACATGCTAAGAACTATAGTTGTCCATTCACACCGGTAAACCTGCCTATGTGGTTGCTTGAATAGCGACTTTTAAACTGGACCAGTATAAAATGTTTTAATTCAAAGGGGATTGAATGGATAGATTGGTTATTCCTTGGTTTAGACCCTTCGTGCTGCATTATGAATGGATGCTACGATAAAATTTTCGCATTTCTCACAAGGGCATGTTATCAAATTGTGACACCCCAATTCAATTGCATGCGACCTCTCTAAACAGATGGTGTTGGTATGATCTTAAAAGCTCTGTCCCGCTGCATTGCCTTGACCGGGATAATACCCGTAACCCTCGGGATACGTCCACTGGTTTCCCGTAACGTTACCTTCCTGTGTTCTATTCCCGTAGAAGTTTGCATTCAGCGAATTACCCGAGGGATAAGGGGGAGGTGGCTGTTGAGGGGTAGCAGGAAAAAACTTAGAATCCGAGAAATTTCCACTCTGTTGTGGTACAACATAATTGTTCTGCAAGTTAGAATTCCCTTGAAATTGTTGATTATAGTTACCATACTGACTTGAATTCGTAAACCTGGCCGCAGCGGGGTAGGGTGGCGGTAAAGTCTGGTTACCTGGGGGACTACTGACGGGAGATGGCGTCCCTCCAGGTGTAGAATAGTTGTACATGTTATTAAAGTTGTTCTGGCCTGTCCAAAACGAGCCCGCGATATTCTGCGTTGGACTTTTCAGGGCACCAAAACCTCCGCCGACGCCATTTGCTGTTGTGTTACTTCCACCAAAATTTGGCCCTCCGAAGTTGGCACCTATAGCAGTACCTACGTTGTTGAGTCCACCTGCGTAAGTCTCTCCGAAATTTGTCCCGGACATATTCTGCCCTCTTAAATTTGTTCCAGGGTAGTTCACGTTTGAACTTGAATAACCAGGTGCCGTTGGATTGGGACCCGACATATTAGGTCCACCCAAATTTGTCCTTATATTTGGAGCTCCAACTCCCTGGGCCCCTGGAAAAGCGGGCCCGCCCGGAGACATCCCTTGTACATTACTGGGAGAAATATTTCTGGTTCCCGAGCCGTTTCCTGCAAAGTTATTTCCAGTGAGGGTTGACGTTCCTAAATTGACGTTTCCGAAATTGGGGCCAACATAATTTGGGGCCTGTTTTGTAGGGAACTGTGGCTTAAACATTTCAAAGTTTGGTGGGTTGGGAAATATGCCTTCAGGAGGGTAGCCGGAGGGATTCCTGTGTTTGCTGATGTCGGCCAAAGGCTGGGTACGAGCAACTGGCGCCACAGATGCAATCCTCGAGTGTGGATGGATCTTGTTGCCATGGAGCGCGTGAGCAGGTGGAATATTAACAGCTCCAACTTCTGCTTCGCTCCCTGAGCTCGCAACGTTTGTTTTTACGGCCTCCCCTCCGTTTACACTCGTCTTTAGTCGCTCATTGTCCGACTTCTTATCGTCCTTTCGATTTCCTTTCGATTCTGAAGTTACAGCTTTCTCCTTTGAACTATCCTCATTGTCACGTTCATTTCCTTTCTTACCTTCGGTTCTCGTTGAATCCTCTCCGTCTTTGCTATCATTATCATCATCGTCTTCATCAATAATCCTTCGAGTCCTTCGAAGCCCAGTAAGCGCCTCGGATTTCCTCCGAACATCCTCATCCGAGTTGCCTTCGTACTCGTATCCGCTCGTCGGAGACTCCGAGCCGCTTTCGTAATCAAGATCCATCAGTCGACGAGATCTCCGGGTGTTCCGCTGATGTAACCGCTCTAGGTTTCCGGACTCGTAAGCCGGTTTGGAGAACAGCAAATGTTTTTCCTCTCCATTAACTTCCTCTCCTTTGAATCTCTTTTTGTCGTTCTCGACGGCCGATGTGATATCGTCCTCGAATTCTTTAAAAGTGTAGTCGACGTTTTTTCTCGAGCGACCAGACCGTCTGATTCCTAGATCTTCTTCGTCGTCTGATGTTCTCTATGATGATGAAAAATAAAACAAAAATGTAAATATACACCTCCTACTAACCCAGTACGAAGTTCGTACCGTGAGAAACGGAGAACAACAGTGACCAACGCAAAAGCAGTTCCAAATAGTAAATTTAAAAAGAGTGTTTGAACACAAATTTAAAGTTAAAGGATTTTTCCATTTATTTCCCTTTCAAGGTCTGGTCATTATTTATCCTCCCAGGTGGGGAGAAGAGGGGGCCGGTAGGAGTATTTTGACGATAAAATTTGCCTGACCCTC